TAGGATGGGCACAAATTGAAGATATCAGTGTTGATCTTCCTTCAGATATAACAGTTCTTCCTCAAACATACACTCTACATGCTATTAAAAATGGTTATACTGATCATGAACAACACAGTTATGCTGCTGAATGGTACTACGAGTCTAGTACTCAACTTTGTGATGGATATAAAAATCATTATAGTTGTACTATTGGTGATGGAACAAAAAGTCATAAAGGTGGCGGCAAATACGATTACACTCTAACAATTAGTACCTGGAATGGGGAAACTGAGTCTATCAAGCAAGGACTGAGTCCATCAAGCAATAATGGGGATCAGAGATATAGATTTCACTTTCAAATCAGCGATGTGATAAGGAACCGCATAATTACAGTCAGAGGTGAGCTATAGTAATTAATATGATGCGAAATTTTGATATTGTTATATATTAGTACCAGCAATTGCTCCCTCTTCTCTTACTGAGGTCAGCAAGACAGCTACCACTATCACTGTCAGTTGGACTGCACTTGATTCATCTGATGCTGATGGATATGTAGTCAATGTCACTAGTGACACAGACACTGTGCAGACAGTACAGGTGGAGGGAAGTAGTAATGATACAATTGTACTGAATGGACTAAGAGAACTAACAACTTATAGCATCATAGTCAGAGCCTATCAACAATTACTGGGACCTGCTAGTACAATGAGTGTACAAACCTTACCAGGTTTGTACACTACTGCACCTTTTAATGTACTTATAACATTGTTGATGTATTTCTAGTTATTAATTCAATCAATTGGATACTATTCTCGCCCATTACACAACTCAATAACACTCAGTATGGTATTCATTGTCTCACAACTACTGATATAAATCCTTCAACTGATGTTTACTGGTTATTAAATAAAGTGATGAAGAGTAACTCAATGTATACATCAATCAATGTCGTGACATACAACAACACACTACTGGTATATCCTGATCCACTGGGAGTGTCAGTTAATGTTACCTGTATAGCAATGATTGGTGGAGTCAACTACAGTCAATTTATAATATTGCATGGTATGATTATACTTAAATCAATATAGTTTACTTCATCTACTTTAGCTCCTAGTGGTCCTCCAAATGATGTGAAAGGGTTTATATTAAATGCTAGTAGTATCAAAGTCAACTGGACTAACTCAATAGGGACTAATGGATATGTGATTGAGTATACTACTGGAGGTGTAACCAGAAATGTAGTATCTACCAGTGAAGATGAAGTCGTACTAACAAATCTCTCACCAATGAGTACCTATACCATCAGTGTGTACTCATATATAGATCTTCCTTCAGTTAATAGTACAGTAAAAGTGTTAAGATTTGATGGTGAGTTATTATCATTGATAGAATGTAATTGAATTGATATCTGTTCTAGTTCCTAGTCCAGTAACTAGTCTCTCAGTATCTAATGTCTCAACCACTGGTATTACAGTGAGCTGGAATATTCCCAGTAGTGACAACTATGTAACATACTACACCATCTTCTATACTCCATCGTGTCCCCAGTTATCGTCAGTGAATGAGACAGTCTCTGTTGGTCCTCATCAGTCCACTACAACATACAGTTATACATTAGCAGGTCTTTACAGTGGTATGAACTATACCATCACAGTTAGAGCTGGTAATGTACTAGGAGGATCTAATTATACCTCAGTTAAAGAATACACAATATCTTTCAAAGGTATGCATAAATTGTGATGTTCAGTAATATTTACACAATATTTTATCTACATGTATAGTTCCTATTGGAGCACCTAATTCTTTGTCTTTAATACAACCAATTAATAATCTCACTTGGAATGAGGTCAATTGTTCTAAGCATAATGGTCTAATCACAGGCTATACAGTGGTGATCAGTAACAGTAGTATCACATACACCCTCACCAGCACTGAGAGATATATCATATTGAAAGTTTTAGCCTTTGGAACTGAGTATAATATCAGTGTAGCTGCTGAAAACTCTGCTGGAATAGGTCCTTTTAGTGATTCTATAATTGTAGAGATTGGAATAGGTATGCATGCTTTAAGTTATTCTGTGAGAATCTGTTTCTTTATTTAGTACCTGGTCCAGTTGGTTCAGTATCCAGTATCATGGACACTACATGGGCTGTTATCTCATGGAGTGTACCTAGTTATATTCCATCAGACTATCCCATCATCACATATGAGATAGGATATCATATGTTACAGTCTGGTAACTGTTCAATGGTATATGATGATGATATAAATCTTCAAGTATTCAATCTATCTAATGTATCTAGTAATGATACATTTACTATCATCACTCGTCTGAATAGTAATACCTGTTACATTTTTGGTATACGTGCATACTCTGATAATGGATATGGGGCATGGACAGTTACTATTAATAAGACTCTAGAGCTACTAACAGAATCATCATCTGTACTAATATCACTATCATCTGCACAAATATCATTACTTGCAATAGCATCATCGTCAACCACAAAACAGTTATTTTCTACAGGAATATCACCATCATCTACTGTAAAGTCTTTATCATCATCAGTAATACAAACATCAGGTATGAGTATAGTCCCCATAATTTATAAATCTTACTTGTTTTTAAACCAGTGGCTGCTACTATGAAGCCTGAAAGTAAAGTCTTTTATTTTGTATCAAGATTTATATAATAATTATGATTACAGATACTTCATTTGTTATTACTGTGGGAGGCCCAGGGATTGCTGTTATAATTGCTCTATTGATAGTGTTGATTGTTATAATTATAGCTTTCATTAAGTAAATCTGTGACAGACAAAAGAGTTCATAATTATTTTTAATAGAAAAAGGAAGTCATTGAAAATTAGCAAGTACAATGTTAACATAGCTATGTCAGAAATACAAGGTGGTTATGATGTACCAGTATTATTATTATTGATTTGTTATAGATAATGAGAGCCTAACCAAAAATGATGAAGACAAATATTGTCCAATTAATAAAGAAGAACCAAGTAGAGCTCAAATAAATAAATAATTTTGATTATATTTTTTAGATTATGCAGCAATACAAGAAGCACCAATTCCATCAGTTTATGAACCAACATACACTGACATAGAGACTGCTGTTCTGTCTGGTTATAATTTTGATCCACAGATTCCTCTCACTTTACCTATATCACTCGAGGATCTGAATACACATGTAACCAGTTGTCATAGCAATGGATTTGAAAGCCAATACACAGTAAATAATTCATACATGTACATATACTGACAATTATAATAGAGCCTCAAGAGTGGAGAGGAAAAGCCATGTACTATAGGGTACAGTGAGGAGAATAAGCCTTTCAACAGATTCAAAAACATCACAGTTTGTATGCAAATGTATAGTTAAAAGTAATGTGATTATACTCTATTATCAGATGATGATAACAGGATAATACTGGCTACTAATCCTAACTTGGATATGTGTCAAAGAGAATATATTAATGCTAGTTATGTTGATGTAAGTTTAATATTTTACTGAATTATCTTAATCAGTGTGATTACTGTAGGGATACAGTAGCAGTAAGAA